ATTTGTATTGCAGAATAAACATCTTTTTTCATCAAATATTGACTCTCATGCTATAAATACCAGACATAGACAAGATCTTTATCTACCTCAAGCTAACTTAACTAGTTTTCAAAAAGGAGTTTACTACGCGGGTATAAAAATGTTTAATAAACTGCCCATAGAGATCAAGAACTCATCTCATAATTTTAAAAAGTTTAAGGTTGAATTAAGATATTTTTTGAATACACATACATTTTATACTGTAGAAGAATATTTAAACAGATAAATTTTAGTATTTATTGTATTCTTGTATCATCTAGACGAGCATAACTATGCATGTATTTTATGTTTTATATTATTTATGATATGTTTTATATCCATTCTTGGATCTTTGTAACTTATTATTGTTGAATACTGTTGGATCCAGATAAGCATAACTGAGTATTTTATGTTTTGTATTATTTATGACATGTTTTATATCCATTTTTTGGATCTTTGAAACTTGTTATTGTTTGATTCATTGTACTATCTAGTCGTGTAATTTATGCATGTATCCTGTTTTATATTTAGTTCTGTGACATGTTCTATATCCTTTTTTGGATTTCTTGAACAAATATAAATACAAATACAAATACAAATACAAATATTAATCTTTGACTTGTCCCATATCATGTATAATGATTCATGGATGAAATAAAATTGAATTGAATTGAATACAAAATAGCTCAAGTCACGGAAAAACCATCTGTCCACAGAATGTCATGTAAAAAGAGCTTATCCACAGTGTGTTGATGTCAGAGCCATTCACAGAATTGCATCCACAAGGATGGTTGTCTAAAAACAGATGCTCACTCGAGGGGTAGCAATATGGATAAGATTGATCATCATGCAGTATTTTGAGGACCCTTGGCTTGAATAGTGCCAATTACATATGATATCTCATGAGCTCCTCCATAGCTCTTGTTCTACAGTTGCAGCTTGGCTGGTGACCATTTTGCAACCTGCATTCACATGTACCATATGTGTTACATTTCCTATCTTAAGAGATGCTTCTCCAGTCATGAAAACACATTATCGTTTGGATGACATCAACCAGGTTAATGTAACATGTATTCCCATAAAGCAGTACCAGCTTGACTATTATGTATACTGAGGGTTAAGAGCATGTCACAGTATTTGTTATGTGTATTCCATGATCATTCAGTCACAACTGATGCTCGCTGTACACAGTTTATCAGCATTCAAAGTATCACCATGAAAAGCACCACTATGATGTTACCAACTTTACTGTGACCTGTATCTCAAAAACTGAGCATCTTAGGACATAACATTTTTTACTTGTTTTTTTAACAAGAAATCACAGTATGGATATTTTCATTTCAGCTCGTATGTCTCTGTCATGTGACAGAGAAGTTGCTGCCAAAGCACAGTAAATCACAGAGTTATGGCAAGAAAACTACTCATTCCTGTCAACTGTTGAATTGCAGCAGGCTGTTTCATTAGCAGACAACTGAATTCCAAGGGCATCCAACATGTATCGTTGCATTTAAATTTGAGGAAAATTTTGTGTGCCTTACATGAATGGTAACACTGAACCTTTGTGTTGTTTGCTAAGGCCCTGGCAAGACTAGACCTGAGTCACAATCCACTGGGTGATGGTGCTGTTAAACACATGAACATCATGCTGCCTCACCTTGTCTCTCTCACTGTTCTTCAGTTGCAAGACTGCCATCTTACTACCAACTGCTTCAAGTCAGAAGATGTATTGTTGTGTTGTAAGTAAAAATCCCTGTAAAGTTAATGAGTAAATAGAATTTGTGTGGTGTAAATTCTGGCTTCATATTCAGATCTGCAGATCAAATTACTGGTTATCATGACCGAGAATTTTTGGTGTTTCTCCTTCCAGACATATGTCAAAATACTACCTTAAAATAGTCTCTCACTGCTTCCTCTCAGCCTTTAAATCTATTGTTCATAATGATCCTGTGATATCTTAATTGATGCTATCCAGTCTAGAGAATTAATACATCATTAAATAAACCACAGAAGGAACAAATATCACAATTTTGGACACACACCATACATTTTGACATGTTCTTGTATTTGCAGTGGATTCCATTCGTGTACTTGATGTTAGCTACAATGCACTGGGTGGAAGCGGTCTGTTGGGTTTTCTGGGCCGGCTGTGTCCAACTGAAATTGTTAGCCTGAATCTTGGTGCTACCACAGCATGTGATGGTCAGTCTGTGGCACGAGAGGTGATACTCATGTTTACAGAGAAGGAAGGGTTCAGCAAACTAACAACACTCAATCTCTCCAACTGTGGGCTTAGGGATGTGGACATCTGGCATTTGCTTAGGTGTGTGGATCATGCATGGTGGTGAAAGTGATGGTCGTAGAATCACATTTCACAATCAGTCCAATATTGAGAATCTGTTTTTTCTTTAGATTCGATGTGTTTTTTTCCTGTAGGTTTGATGAACTGTTACTGACATAGGCGATTAATGCATTGTCATTGCTTTTTATTCCTGTGGGAACCAACTTAACTCTATTCCACAGAACAATTTTGGAGTCAAATCATCTGCTTTCAAACAAGTTGTACATCTTGGTACGCAATATTTCTAGACATGTAAATTCATGCTGGCTTGACTTGGCAAACTGCTCTTTGAGTTTCTGCATTCCAGTAATGATTTTTTCAACTGTTTAAAATAGGCGCGTGAAAATTACTTTTTCATTTCAAGACAAGAATTTGGGAAAATTTCAAGACTCGAGAGGAGAATGAGAATCTTTCTATTAGACCTTCCCCCCACTGTTATCTCAGTTAATGATATTATCAATTTTGCACAGTGAATTAAAGTGTACTGCTTATACCCTTTGATTTCAGATCCAGTTTCAATAAACTGTTTTCATAATTTGTATTTTTAAAAATTTCTGGGGGCATGTCATTTTTCAGCATAGGTAGTAAAAGGGGAGACAGATTTTGTTGACCAGTTAATTCATGCTAACATTGCCAATCACTATGATTCTGATGCATCAATTAGTTTATATGCCAGTGCACAAGGCACTCTCAAAGATCATTCTGACCCCAAAAACCTAGTTAATAGCACAATATTTTGTAAACTCAAGCTTTATCAGGTTTCTTGCATCATGGGGCAAGATTTCTGACATGCAACATTGAAGAACTAAGTAGAGCAACAGTATTTTGGGGCTTTCATTTCAGTGAATTTAACTTTGAATGAAGCATGTCATTTTCATTCTTTCATTTTGTCCTGCACCAAACCTGAATCTTGTATGAAACTCTACCACAATTTAAATATTGTCATCTTAGTATCAAGTTGTATTTTATATTAGTAATATATTGGATAAGCCATATACACAAACTATTTGTTTGTGTAGATGGCTTATCCCATATATATATAGGGGCACACAGTAGCATAGTTGGTTGAAGCACTATGCTACAATCCAGAAGGTCTCAAGTTTGAGTCTTGATGAGGTGGATTTTTTCAATTTACGTAATCCTTTCAATAACACTATGGCCCTGGGGTTGACTCGGCATCTAACAGAAATGAGTACCAGGAATCTTTCTGGGGGTAAAGGCTGGCCAGCACATAAGGCTGACAACCTTAGCACCATCTGTGAGCTGATTGTTTATAGAAACTGTAGAAGTCTTAACTTCTCACAACCCTATGGGCCTTTACAACCTGTTACAGGGATAGCTTTACCTTTTTTATTGATGTTTTATATTGTTGTAGGTGCAGAATATTGATACTCTTCCAGGCTTCTTTCTTGGTGATTCTGATTATTTCCATTGTGCTGTCCATGTGACCATATGTGTGTCCCATCTTGAGATTATATTGTGCATAGACGGATGTGTCTTTATTCCGGTGTGTTGTGTATATCTGTTGAAAGGATCATCCTGTTTGTCTTGTGTACAGAATGGGCAGTCTAGGCATTTCATTCTGTATATACTGCTATTTTCATATCATTCAATCTTGTGTTGTTTTTCATGTATATGTTTGTGTATAATGTAGGATGCTTGGAAGACTACTTTTGTGTTGGTGTCTGTTAATGTCCTCAAAATATGTTTGATCTCTTTTCTGAAATATATAAATATGAAGCATTTTTTTGGTTGTTCTTGCCTTTGTTGTTATCCTGATTTGTATTGTGGTCTTCTATACTTGTGTTGTATATTTTATTCTCTGGGTGACTCTGTTTCTTAGTGATTTTATTGTAGACACAAGATGTCAGCTATCATCTGCATGATCAACGAAATAAACGGCAAAAAGGAAGAAATCAATAGCATCAAGAATGTACTACTACTTGAGGTACTCAGTGAGAAACACTCCAAAAGTTGCTGAAGGCTAACCTTTTAAGATCCTACCCCATTGAAGTTTAAAGACATACATCACTGAACTCTCACTGGGGAGTGATAAGGACAGAATAACTTGACAACATTCTGATGAAGAGATACAAAACTGTATCTCAGGCCTCTCTGTCTCCAAGGCTTATCAGCTGATCAATAGAAACAATGGAGAAGTCACTGCCTATACACACAACTTTCCTTCCCTCTGAATTTCAAAAGTTACCAACTCACAAGAGCATGTGTAGGTTCCCATGTGAGCATATGTCCCAGCTCTCATGCAATGCTTTTGATGCCAGGAATTCAAGCACACTCAACAACACTGTTGCACTTTAGAATGTTCATAACTCTCCAATGATTGAAGGAGTTCATTAGCTCTCTTTCTATCCAGCTTTCTCCAGGTTTATGATTTCCATGTCAGTATCAGAAATACACTCCTCATCTAAGCCCTCAAGAAAATGGTGTGCCTCACGGTTAATTTGTGTCATAAATGCAGTTGACCCATGTCCCCATTGACTTCTTTGTATGTCAGTTACATCACTGTCTTCAGTGATTCAAGTAATATGAGCAGGCTTGAAAACAGTGGCTAGAGATAGTAATAAATTGAATTTCACAGTGAATTTGGGGGAATGGTTCCTCCTTTGCCATCATCAAAACCCACTGTTTGTGTTTCATCCATAAGCAGGATGTACTTTCTCTCCTGACACTGCATCTGAGATCTGAAGAATACCCATGTGCCGTAAATTTCATATTCTACCTATCTGGGCCTCATTTTTATAAGCTCTCTTGGGAGCCCTGCCTTTGGCATTCCAGCATAAGTGCAAACTGGCTAGGAGTTCTGTCTCGATTATCATGGGACAGGGATAGAGTGATGATGCTTCTGCTCGACCGTCACCTAATTCCCCCAAAATTGAGAATGTCAGTTTTTGTGTGATCCTGCTTCCAAGTCCAAATTATCTGTCTGGGATACATCTTGCAGCTGGTGCCTTCCATAACAAGGTGACTGCTATGAAATCAAAAGAGACACCACCTTCCCTGCAGGGGAGCTTCCTCCACTGCAAATATACAGTCAAACTTGCAGCACATGTTCAGCCAGTCATAACCTGCAGCTTCCCCCCACCCCCGACTATATACAGTTGTGCTTTTGTAATTAGCCTCCTGCTTCATATTTGACTGAAGTTTTCTTGATTTCTCTGTATCCTAGTTAAATTCTTGGATTGTACCTTATAATAGGCCATGATTGTTTTCTTCCACATGAATTCCAATTGGTTTATAATGATACTCTTCAATACTATGTGTCCTATATACAGCAGTTAAAAGTTTGGTTGAGGAGCCAAAGAATCAGATGATCATTACCAGAAACACTTATTGTTTCATACTGCCATGTAATGTCCCATATTCCCTGCTTATACATTGTATTTCACATCCACTCACAGTCTGGGCTGTGATACCATCAACACAGTCTCACCTAAATCCTGTGTTCTGTTACAGAGTACTTCAGAAGTGTGGTGCACTTGAAACACTACAATTGAGTGGAAATGCTGAGCTGAGTTCTGTGTCATTGCGCCGCCTTTTGCAGCACCAGCCTGCATTACGCACTGTTGACCTGTCTGGCTGCACCAGTATTGCCAACTTTCTTGGGGACTCGTCCCCTCAACTATGGGTAGCACAAAAAGGCCAGAAGAAACTTGAATCACTGACATTAAACTCACAGGGCTTTGACAAAGATGAAATGGAAGCATTATGGTGGGAAGCATGGGGACCTAGAGCCTGTATACATAGGGCTCCAGGGGGGCTACTTTATTTGTCACTGAAGGAGTAAGTTGTTTATGAAGTGGACATTATACTGACATGTACAAGGTCTGATTGTATGAGTAAAAATGAACATATTTATGAAGAGCCTGTTTTATTTTATCATAATTTATACAATATTTATCCAAATATCAGGTTTCTTTTCATATTTGGTCATCTGAAAAAACAGAAGTCCTATAATACTCATAATTTGCTAACTCCATGAAGCTGAATCCTCTCCTCTGCTTGCTAACTGTTTCATGCTGGTTTCTAGCGTGGCTTATTCATTAGCCCTGAAGATGGAGATGTCATGTTCCTCTGAAATGTTGGCTTTCAACAGACTTACACTGCCACCTACATAAGGAATGCCCAGAGAAGGGAAACGCTGCTTCCACCCCAACATGCTGCAACTGCCGGTTGGCAGAGGGAGACAAGCCACATCCTGCCACAGGCCAGCGAAGAGCTGCAAAAAAGAAAGGTGAAGAGAACACCGAAAACTACTATGGAGAGGGTGTTCTCACTGAACCCAGTCACCCCAGGTGTGTCCGCGGCAGCACTACGAGGCAACGCAGAACAACAGCGACCACAGGCGAGCCCCGCTCCAATGGTTTGCCCTATGGTAACAAAACAACAAAATGTACCAGCCCCTGCACTGCAGAAGGAAACAGGTCGGTCAGTTCAGGCGCTATCATGCAGTCAACCTCTTGAAATATGTTGAGAGTTGTGACTGTGATACAGCAGTTCATGACAGCATTCAATGGTGCAATGTAGGTTACCTTAATTCCAACAAAAAAAAAATGGAATCATAACCTGTGGAATACAAGAGATCATGATGGCAAAATTATTCGTTGCTTCTTTGTAAACTGTGAATTCAAGGGGCTTGTACTTCGATTCGAGTAACATTGGTGTTCAAGCAAGTTACGCTTCTTACCAACAGAGCACTCAGTACTGGCTGTAGTCATTTTGGAGCAATATCCTGCACGGAATGTAGATGGCAGCATTAGGTACATGTGACGTCATGCATACTACACTACCGATAAGATTGAGATGCGAGCCTCGTCCTCATTTGCGCTCATTTGTCTACGCGTGTTAGTGACGTTTGCAACATGGCGGATGTGAAATTTTCTGTTCGTGCTTACAGCAAAATGGTGCTTCATGCAGCGAAATATCCTCATTGTGCAATAAATGGTGTTTTACTAGCGGAAGAGCAGAAGTCTAAAGATGACAAAAAGGGAAGGTGTTTATTTGTCTGCGATGCAGTACCCTTATTTCATCTTTGTTTACATGTAACTCCTATGGCAGAGATTGCTCTTACGCAGGTATGTATTTGCTGCATAACATTTTGCGTTTATGAGTAAGTTAAAAGAAAAATCAGTAAAAGTCATGAAACAGTTAGAAAACTGGTTCCTAACACTCCTATAATAAGTACTGAAAAGACTAAAGCAATAATATTTCAGGGAAGAGGATCTAGTTTAACTCATGGACCCATTCTGTATCTAAAAAACAAAGAAATAACTTCTCATCAAATTTAAAATTTTTAGGTATTTATATCACAGATAACTGAAGCTTGACCACTCATATACAATATCTTTGCCATAAATTAAACAAAGCTCTGTATTTGATTAAATCCATACGAGACCCAGTACCAAGAAATGTTTAATTTTACGTATCTATACTGAAATGTATTATATTTGGGGGGAGTAAATGTCAGTAATACAGTCTTTAAATTACGAAAATAGGTCTAAGGCTCATTAAATGCGTGAAAAACAGGGTGTCCTCTAGAAGTCTATTAGGTGAATTTAAGGTTTTAACAGTAATTTCTTTATATGTATATATATGAGATTCTGTGCTTTAAAAAGAAAACAACAAAATCTACACAACTTATTATTCCTACATTCACAAATATAACACTAAAAGAAAACAGGATTTGTATGTACAAACTTGCAACACTGTTTATTGCAAAATAAGTGTAATTAACATGGGAATTAAAATACATAACAACTTGCCCCATGAATTAAAAAGAATATGAAATTTTGAAGTTTTTAAAAATAAATTAGAAAGTTATTTATTACTGAACTGTTTTTATTCTCTGCAGTAGTTTTTTTTAGTAACAATGATGGACGGTAGTTTGGTGGCTCAGGTTGGTTCGGATGTATATGCGAGTAGATAGTATAAGTGTATGTGTTGCTTTATATAGGATTGTTGGGGTTTGTCATCCACAGTTGCTAGCATTACTGGGGGGACAATGGTCGTAAGATGGTTGTATCGTTCTTAGTCTTGTGTATCATATTGTACATTTTTAACAGTTGTTGAGTTGTAGTGTTTTAGATGGTTTAAACTGACTTGTCCAATTATATTTGTGTAACAGTTTATGGATGAAAATAAATCATGAATTATGAATTCTTAAATGGTAGAATAAGGCTGTAATGTAGGTGGAGAAAAGGCGGTTGAGTGTGAATGTGGTTATATGTGAAGATAAGTGATTTAATTTGTATGTTGGAAGTGTGAGGTTTAACACCTTAGAATAAAATACTGAGAGTCTGATATTCATTATACTTGTTATTGTTCAGATTGACCATATGGCATCAACGTCAGGACTTGTACTGGCAGGGTACTACTTAGCAAATGAAAATATGAAGGATCTAAGGTGTGTACAATGTAATGCAGTTTTATAGTACAACTTAAGTTTCAGAGTTATCAGTTGTGTTTACTAGAACATTGATGCAAATTGTTGGAACTTCTAAGTGTAAATATTTGCATTTGAAAATGTTTCTGTGACAGTTACGAGAAATGCGGCCAGCGAATAGCAGATAAAATAGCCGAGAACTTCAGTTCAGCTTGCCTTGTTGTTGTAAGTACAGTAACTTGTTACTTAATGTGATTTCTTTGCACATTATTTAATCATAAAGTTAGAGAACCTTAGTAGGTCTTTCCAACTAATAAATCCCTTAGTTTTACAGTCGTGGCACAGCAGATAACATATTTCATACCTGGCAGACCCTAAGCCTCCTATCCATTGGGTACTGGTGGGCTTTCCCTGTGTGGTAAAGTGGCAAGGGTGTGAAGCTGACCGCTCACCTCCATCTAGTGCCAAGGTCAAGAAAATGTGGATCTGTATACACCCACTCCCCATACACCTTCATGGTGTAGTGCTTAATTAATTGAGCACAGGGGACAACTTTACCTTTTTCCTTTACCTGATAGACTCCAGATTCATATCTGAGGTGGGTAACTGGCTACCCTGACTGAGGTTTTTCATTGTTTTCTTCAGTCCCTTCAGATGAATTTTGGGAAAGAGCATTCCCTCTTCATAGTATACTATTGCTCTTATGGCAGCAATGTGACAATACATCACTGTCTTCACTACTGCCATTCATGCCAGAATACACACCATATATTGTTCACACTAAGGCCATGTTTTATTTGTTACGAATGCTCAGCTGAGTTCTCTTTACAAGGGAAAGGAAAGGGGGATACATGAAGAATTGAATTTCTCATAGCCTTAGCTCAGTCTGTTGTGTCATACTTCAAGCACTCACCATTGACAGTGTCCATTAAGGCCATCTTTAGCAGATCTTCTTCAACTGGGATAATAAGGATACTGAGCCACTCTGTAATTTTATCTTTCCACCCTGACACTATAATAAGTTCTTTTTTCTGACTGATAGGATGCATTTTTCAACAAAATTAACTAAATTTGGAGGAAATTGCACTTTGTCCAATTCTTCCTGACCATCTTGGGTGGTCTTCATACATAAAAATACGAATTTCACATTCAGAACAAATCCCTGTTCATTTTATGCAAGGACCAACATAAAATGTTGCCCATGAGCAGTAGGTAATTTCAAGCAAAAGCTTGTCGTGGTATTTTAATTGTAGTGGCCTTTCATCGTTTACTAACAGTTATCCCTTCACTCGCCCAAGATTCTTCTTCATAATAGATATTGCTTTTAACATTTTGCAGTTTCTTGATTTGAAGAAGATACAGATGACACACCAAGGTACAGTATCATATCTTCAATCATAATGAAATTATTTTCTTCCTTCTCATACCCAAAGCCCAGCTGTTTTAGAGCGTATTCTTTTGAACCATAGGAGTTCAAGATCATTATTTACAGCTGCCAGGAAGGAATTCAGAGTAATGGTCAGTTCTTGAAGTAAAATTCATGTACTTTGCTTATATGTGGACCACAATTTGCCCTTCTTGCCTTTTAAGTGACTTCACATTCTTGTATGTAACATTTGGAGCATCATCCATTTTACAGATACACACACTGCAATTCAGCAATAAGAGGACATAAACTCATGTAACAAATTCATGCAGCAAAAGAGTTTATGCATTCCACAGTAATCACTTCATGTAAGACATGCCAACATGGTGAAGGCTGTTACTATATGTGCTTGAAACCTGCAACAAAAGTTAAATGTGTATGCCGTTGTTAAGAAACGTGTTAATGGCTTGTCCATGCTAATAAACTGTAAACATCTCAACCTAACTTATTTCATCTGTGCACACTGCCGAGGGTGAAACCTCTATAATACCTAAAAGTAGGCTGTGACTACACCCTCCCCATTTCATTTATGCTCATCATGTCATTTAAAATATAAATTGTGCAGGCGATGAAACAACATTATTTGAAGAAATCCCTTTAGTGCTTTTATTTATTGTATAGATTAAGGGTGGAATTTCATCAAGTGTGACAATGTTTTTGCTGCCATTAGTGGCCATCATCAGGAGGCAGACCAGCGTTATAAAGGAAGTGCTCTACACACGTTGCTATTCAACATAAGATGCTGGCACATGATGATGTAACAGTGGGCTTCGTACTTGTATTAGTGCTGGCTGCATGTAATTTTATTGATTATAGTCCACACATCTGCCTGTGTTAGGATGATGGCAGCAGCAGCAGCAGCGGGGGGAGGGGGTGTTGGTATGCATTCTGGTAGAGCATGTGGTAGTGTTTGGGTGTGCGGTGATACACCACCTGTCACATTAATTTGGTGACTACTGGTAATGAATATTGAAATTGGAGAATTATCAAAGTTTGTTGATTTTGAGGGTACTTTTTCGCTTAGTGGGGGGTGGAGTCCAACTGGCTCCACTTGGCACAGCAGACACAGATTGGCCCATTGTACTTGCCGTGGTGATTATGATGATGGAGAATTTCGTGGAATGAAGATTGGCAAGGGAAACCGAAGTACTCGGAGAAAACCCGCTCCAGTGCCACTTTGTCCACCACAAATCCCACTTTATTGAACCCGGGCTGCCGCGGTAGGAAGCCAACGACTAACCGCTTGAGCTATGGCACACTTCCAGATTGGAATATTATGACTTCGTTCCATCCAAAACACATGTAACCTTTCACTCAGCTCTTCAATGGAAAAAGATTTAGAAGCAGTATATTAATACAATTATCGATTTTTTGGACATTAGTCACCATTGTTTTTGAGTTTTTATTTAAAACAACATGTTGGGGACTGGACTGCTTTCATTCTCAGGTAAAATATATATAATTAGGTTACACCGTCACCACATCAAAATTGTATACTCAATTTAATGTTTTATAATTAAAACTTGTATTTCTGCTACATGTTTCGGTCACATAGGACCATCCTCAGGCAGTTAATATAGGTATATGTCTAGTCATTGAATTATTATTGTGGATCCATATTAGTGCATAGTGCAATATGTGATACTATATGGTAACAGAATTTGCCTCAAGTTACATAATATGTGTTATAATTAAGTATATAAAAATGAATGAAACGCCCTCAATTGAAAAGCAAGAATTATAAATACTTCTAAATACCATCCTTGGGCACAACTACGTGCAATTCAATGACCAATTTTATAATCCAGAGTGAAGGCCTAGCAGTGAGCGCACCAATGTCAGCTATCTTAGCTGAAACTTATTCAGTGGCTAGATATATTCATATGTTAACTGCCTGATGATGGTCCTATGTGACTGAAACATGTAGCAGAAATAAAAGTTTTAATTATAAAACATTGAATCGAGTATATGATTTTGTTGTAATGGTTTAACCTAACTATATAACAGGATGCACACTATGAAGATAACTCGGGTAAAATGCCTACTCAGCTTTGGCCAATTGATAGAGCTAGTCTCTCGCTGAATGAATGAAATGTGTGCCTTAGTGGAACTGTACTGCCACCTGTTGTAGAATAGGATATCATTCTGATGTGTAACCTGAGTTGATAATTGCAACTTATTTTCTTTTTCCTCCACAGATAGACAACAGGAGGTTGACATTGAGCATGGAAAATATGGCTTTGTGTGTGTCACAGTTTGTGGATGGAAAGTGGAAGTCTAAGGAAAAATCCAGGTAAATTTTTTCTTTTCCCCAGATATCTATGGTTAATTCATATTTCTTTGTGCAGAAGAACCAGCCAGTCTCCCTCCCCCCTCTTCTCACGCTTTGCCAATCCAACCATCTGATGACTAGGATGTAATATACATTGGTGAGAGTACTCTCACTCCATGCCTTCATGCCTTTCTTGGTGTGCGTTCGTCTAAGCCCATACCTATGGACACAAGCTACCAGTTACATTTTATCACTTGGTTTTATATATGGATATATGCACGGTATTCTCAGCCTGTATGCTTACCAGTAAACAGGTGATGTGTACTGGCAGACTTGTCAAAAGTTGCACAACTAACAGATCATTGTATGTTTCAACCTTGAGGCTGAAACTGAGCAGAAGAGTGCCAGCATACTTGCTCTTAGAAAAGTGTACATGTGAATGTTATCCATGTTGCACAGTTGATAAGTTGTGGTGGAAGAAATGCTCTACAGTATTGCCTATTCTCTATTTTTAACCAGGTTGTTGCTCCTTTAAGTTTCTTGCATTGCAGGGATTAATAATCCAATTTTGAAGCAGTCATCCATCTTCCAACTATGTGTGTTTCCTCTCTAATCCTTGAATTTGTGGGCAGATAATAGTTTTGTTTGGCCCCAGTACAGGTGATGTGAGTAAAATGTGAAGTGAAGTGATCCTCACTTAGTGCTGGCAGCCGGAGAACTGATACATACTATGCAGTATTAAATTTCAGCTGTGCTTTTGACAGTGTTGTAGTGTGGAAGAACAGGAATGCTAGTTAACCATAGTTTCATAATAGTAATATTACACATGCACCTGAACTCAAGTTGGAACCCAAGAACTGGCACTAAGCATTCTTCAGGAAGGATGTCGCTTTCTACCTTTGTTATCCGTGGGCAGTCCTTTGCAGTGGTGCTGTGCAGTGACAAAAAGCAGTAACAGCCACAACTGAAATCAGTGCCAGTGGAATGGCATAGAGCAGAGTCAAGTTGATCAGTCCAGACTTCTACCATAAACAGTCTGTCTCTAGACATATGAGTTGTATCAGAAAGTTCTCAGACTAGGTCAAAAAAGAAATGCTGCCTTAACTCACTCAATTTTGGCTGAAATAGTCCCCTGAGGAATGTATACAGTGATCCCATTGTTTTTTCCAACACTTCAAAAGCACTGAGGAAGTAATTTTCCCTAATGCTGTCAAGTACGGCTTGCAGTTCCCCCTGGATGTCACATACTGTTCAAAAACATAGTCCCTTCAGCTTCATCTTCAATTTGGGAGACAACAAAATCACAGGGGGCTAAGTCTGGTGAGTAGGGAGGATGGGGAATGATAACCATGTTGTTGTTAGTCACAACCTCTGTGGTTTTCAGGGACATGTGGGCAGGCACATTTTCATGATGAAGGTGTGATGCGGCGAACGTTCAGATTTTCTGTTAAGATCTCTTAGCGAAATTCCTAACTGATCCCAGTGGTGTCTGCAAGCTTGTTGATTGCTCGACAGTGGTCTTCTTTGATGAGTTCTTGAATGTTTTCAACATTTTCTGTCATTTTGCTGGTGCTTGGTCACCCTGAATGTTTGTCATCTTAAACTGACACTTGACCGGCCTTGAAACATGAAAGTCATTCAAAAACTGCTGTCCGACTTAAAGAATGTTCTCCAGAAGCCTCATGAAGCATTTCAAGGGTTTCAGTAATGGATTTACTGAGCTTCACGCAAAACTTGATGCAGATGCATTGCTTGATTTTGCTATCCGTCGCAGACAAAACAAAACACGAAATCTAAGAAGCAATTGTGTAAAAACAGTGGGTGTTCACAGCATGATGTCACCTGGCAGACCAATGCAGTGGGCTTGCAGAAGTGTGACCTTGGCTTCCCCTGTCATCTTGTTTCACCAAGGCAGTTATGACATTAACAGTCTGGAAACTTTCTGATACCACCTTGTATAATCAAGGTCACAACAGCAGTGCCGAAGATCATGACAGCTCAGTGACTCTGTGCCAGAAGAAGGAAAAGTAGTGGCATTTGCAGTAGTTATCCTGAATATTGTGGAACACAATGGTCACTAGGCCCCTCAGTGTCATAGCATGTAATGCTCATGGCACTGCTGTCAACACAGCACAGTCTGCAGCTTCATGCTGACTGTCAATGCTGCACTTTCACAACTATGTTTTATAGCTGCTGTCATTCTAGAAGTATTTTGCTCTTCTTGGACACCCTTTGCTATAGCAGTTTTTGGATCTATCCATCAGGGGCAGAAGCCTTGTTTTTTCCTGCAAGAGAGTTGTGATTTGCAACCACCCTTGTCACTCACATGACTGTATGTTGTGGTCTGGATATGACCAAGTTATTTAAGTTATGAACATATGAAGTGCTGTCACTTCTTAGAATGTCATGTCGACAAACCTTATGAACTACAGAATTAAAATTTAAAAAACCTGTTGCGGCTTGTCCATGTCATGAAATTTCTAGTGTACATGGTCAGTGTACATCTTGGTGATGGGACCGCCATCTCCATGCTTCCAGTTAAGCTTCATTGTAAATACATATAACCTTTGAAGAGAGGGTGTCCTACTGTTTTAGAACTTTTCATAACTGCACTGCCTGCTAGTCCATTAACCTTTATTTGACGTATTTTGTTTCATACCACCATATTTGTTGGGATCGTCTTATGTCACCCAGGGTATCATCTTTTCATCTACTGGGAGTTATATGGTTTTCTGAGGGAGCAAGGACAAAGTACTTTGTCATAAGTATATTGCAGATATAAGAAAGAAATTAAACAACAGGTACCAACATGCAAATAGAAGGATATAATATTATATGGTTCCAGTATTTACGAAGGATGGGAAATTCCCATGCCCCTAGAATGGTTTGTCAATGCCAACCCAAAAGAAAAGAAACCATGAACATTCATTATTGTGATGGAGAGACAAGTTTTAGTTGTTTTTTTTTTTCCAGTTAAGTTTTACAAACTTTAAAATGAAGTGTAGCTACATTTTTAAAAAGTCATAAGAACTGGATCTACATTTTGAGCTGGAACAGACCAGCACATCCCATGATTGTGCTATTGTGTTTGCAGTGTATCTCTAGAGAGCAATTCAAAGAGTGTTGCAGCTGCCCTGCTGCAGAGACGGGTGCATGAGCAGCTGATAGACTTTGACAATCATTTAGATGATCTGAGTCAAGACTGGAGAAACTTGAATTTGAACCAAGAAGTGGAGGAAGAAGTGGGAACAGTTGGGTAGCACCTAGAGTGGCGCATGTTATGTGTGGGACGTCCAACAAGAGCAACATTTTGTGCACAGTAACAATAATCTAGCAGGTATTGCGAAACATATTTATATAACAATATTTCATTCATTTTTCACAATCACCAGAATGATATGTGAGTAATGCACAACTGCTGTAGAAGAACTCTGCATCATTTTTGCATGTTTCATATGTGGGAACATGCCTGTGGTTTCTACACAGCTGACCATGTCTAGTGTTGTCTCCACTGAAGAAGGGTTCTACAGTTCAGTTGGTCAGATTGAGACAATTTCAGACTGGATTGGAAACCAAGTTTTTAAATTGTTTATTATTGTAAATTAAAAAATAATGATTAGCATTTGGGAGCTTACAGTCCCTTATGTACGAATTGAACAAATTTTGTTGTGTTTCACCCTTTGCTCTATTGTAATTTCTGATTCTGCAGTGTTGTAAAGGATGATAGTTTTCTTCTAGAATGGAATGGAATTGGTAATGCTGCTGAAAGAACTGTTGCCTCTATGATGAATTTAAAAGTATTATACAGCTATTTGTTTATAGTTTGTTAAGTGAAATAAATATATTTTCTTTATCCTTCGTGGCAAGAAGAATAACCAAACAGACATCAGTATTCCATACCTTAAATTATCCAGGTCAGATCGTAATTAGTCAGGAGATACACATAAGCATTGCCCAACTTGTTCATTCCTCAGATATTTGAAATTGGACAACCTTGGTGCAGATAATCTCAAATTATCTTTTATACCTCTGTACACATGGTATTGCAGCCTTTGATAAACAAGGCAAGGGAACAAGCTTGTATCATTATTGCAACTATCCTGCATGAACAGAAAACAGTTTCCTCGTTTTCACACCATAAAATAGAGAATGGCCTAAAAGTCAGTTAACCTAAAACATTCATTAATGGTATGGTCAGATTGAAACCTGCCAGTCAATTTGTAGAATTTTATCACAGAATTATGAGTTGTGTGTTGAACATGGAGGATCTCATTATGAACAATCTTTATAAATTCAGTAAGTAAAGAAATTTCTAATGTATTTAGTGCACATTTTACTTACCAGTTAACTCATGTTTGGGACATTCTGTGTAAAACTGTCAAAAAAGTTTGTTACCTGGCAGTAACACAGATCCATGCAATATCATCTCTTGGCTTGCCTGGTATGTTCATGTTATAGTCAGGATCATGGTTTAGCAACTGTGAATACAGTTGTAGGACAATGTAATGTTGAGTATGAAGAAGTATGTTTTGTCTTATCTACCCTTCTGCTTCACTAACAGCAGATTATAGGATTCAAAATGCACTGTAAACAGGAATCCAAAATATGATATAAACAGAGTTGTAGGAACACATGACTGGCCACAAAAACCTGTGTAGTTTATAAACTTAAATAAATTAAATATATATTCAGAAATATAACAAGAAGAAAACACATGCGTAATTCACAAACTGAATAATCTGCTTGTAAGATAAAACATTGCATATTTTTTATTTCTAAAATTGTTTTCACTTCAGAACTATATGTGATAGTGTGTAATTAGTTTTATGTATTGTATCAACTTGAACACAGATTTTGCAGTATCTGTAGTGCACACAGATCATGCTTATAAAGTGTGATACACTAACATACTTGAAGGCTTAAGAATGTGGATAATATTACTTTCTTTGTGTACTGGTGGATTCAGTCCCTCCTAGTTTTCATTCCATTATAAGTCAGGTGCAGCCTGCTTACCTAGTATTGTTTATTTTTACTTCTTTGTTTTATTTTGTGAAGCACTATCAATTTCTGAGGTTATGTAGCATAAAAATAAGTGTGGTAGGATGGTTATTACATGCTGAATTAGGAAGTGTGTGGCATAGAGTGTCTGAGTAAAATTTGAGGAGTGAGGCCTGAAGTTGGCTTCATATCTCTTGACTTAAGTTGCTCGTGTGCCTGAATATCGTACCATGGTAGCACATAGAGATGAGTGGTGAGATCCCCACTTTGGCCACTTCACCTTCATAAAAAGAACCATCTGACCTGTTGGATAGGTTTGCCAGTCTGGATACAGCATATATTACATGGAAGGAGAATATTTAATGAAAATTATAACTGTACACTAAGATTTAATGATACTTGATTTTCCACTTTTGATGAGTTACACTATACAATGAGTTCATTTCATTTTATATCAGAGAAATTAGCAATCGCAGTGTGTTGGGTGAAATTGTGCTGCTATTTGTGGATATGAAGTAGAAGATTGTGTCTAGTCTCAGTGTCCAGTGCTACAAATATGAGGATTTGGTTTGCTTTTGGTCACTTTGCCCAGAATGTATAAGCTGCAGATTTGTGCAAAACACTGGCAAATCTACACACGACATCATGGAGTCATAAGGCCATAGACAGCTACAAAGTAATGAAAGTAATGATTATTGTTTCTGTGTAGCAGTTGTCATGTGCCAATGTAGACTGTGTGTGTGTGTCGTGTACTGCATTGATATGTGTTGCTCACATCAGCGTGACACTTTGACCACAAACAGATTATGCATGGCATTCAGTGGTGGTACCACTGACAAGATAGAGACTGGTACATTTTTAAAATTTGAACTGGTTTCCTCCTGAATTCAGGCCTTGCTGCATGATCCTGATGGGTGGTAATTCATAGAGATTTATCACCGTGGTTTATTTCACCCATATGCCTTGATAACACGATGCTGAAGCACAGGTGTGACTTTATATCCAGCTTTATTTTTTAAGTTGAGAAAGCGAGCACTTAAAGTGACCCACATATATGGAGACTGGAGAATGTAAGCCGTTGTCCTCCCTCTGTCCTTACCTGTGGAGGTATATCTGAGAGTTAAAGGCAGAAGAACTTAGAAGTATCTCTTTGCCTGAACACCATGACATGGGGATGGAGGTATAGGCAGTGGGAGTGAGTGTTAGCTTCATGCTCTGGTCGCTTTACCTCCAGGGAATGTGGCCATGGTACCCATTTGATTAGAAATGGGGGTAAGTAGAGAGCTGGTCTGGACACAGTGGTGACTAAGAGAAAATTCTGCCTTTGCCAAAATTTGAATTCCATTCTCACATAAATAATGATTATTCCAACCCCAGTTCTTTCTTTTATTATTAAATTTTGTCAAGAAATAGTTTTTTCCTTGGAGTCTCAGTCTTTTTAAGAAAATTTTAGCTCTGGCCACACAAGTTTCTTGATTTGGGTGTTTCTGATCAGAGAATGGATTCCAATATGGGATGTATGAACTTGAAACCTAAATTTGCTGCCATAGAAAGAAACATTTATTCTTTTGAATGAGGCAGTATTCAGTGGCTGTTGTAACTTTATAACTGAAGTAAGATTGCTGTTTGTGGGCATCATGAACTTCATACTCCTACTGGATTCTACTTTTGTGCCAGTAGGATATAAAACAAAGTTCAGTTCATGTAACTTGAGGAAGGGTTCCTAAAAGTGCGAATGAATGAAGGAAACACCAAATTTTGTAATTAGTAGTGAAAAATCTGGTGGATATGTATCTTCAGGAGTCCTCATGTATTTACACCAGTGGTTCTCATAACTGCATTTTGAATGGATTATTTAATAAGTGTGTCAGTTACATTGGTTCTATAGTATCATATGGCGTGGGGATGGTGATCCTCAGTGATGAACTGGTAAGAACTTGTGAAGTGGTTGTTATGGCCTGTTTTAGGGTATTTGTGGGAGAGGGCTGAGGAAAAATGATAGGTGATACCTGCTTGTAACATGGCTGAAATTTGAACCAGGTACCTTCCAAATCCAGCCGATGACAGTGGCCGCATGGTCTATGGCATGAACTGTCTTTGCTCGCTCAAACGCAGGAATCATGAGTTGAAATCCCATTCAGGCAGGATGACTGTGTGTGCATTTATTTTGTGTTTGTGTTGTCGTGTGTGTGTAGGTAGCGGCCTTGTGGCGGGCTGATCACACGTCCAAGAAGTCCTACCATCTGTGTAAAAGAAATTATGAAACTGAAGAAGAGTCCAAGGCCCAACAAAAGGCCTGTAGTGCCGTTTAATGAATGAATGAATGAATGAATGAATGAACCTTTTGAATCCAATTTTGCCGTAATGTAGATATACCAGCCTATCCTATAAATGTGATTTATGTATCCCTTTCTGATAATTGAAGTATCTTAAGGAGTACACTGGAAAAGTGTGTAGTGACAGATTTTTTTATGTGCCAATACAGTGGAACCACAATTTAATGTTCCTCACTTTAAGGTTTTCCCTCATTTAACATTCAATTTCAATATTCTAAAGTGAATAACATCTGTTAAATTACTTTCATTTAAGGTTTTCATAAATTTAGTGTTCAGATCCATTGTTCCTCAAAGCACCATAAGTGGGGGATTTTACCCTGCTATTTTAATGCACAAAAATCAGTCATATGAACAGTGCCACCGTTTGTGACTGTTAGGCCATTAATTCTAGTACATTTCTGTTTCTATCAATCAGTTATATGTGATTTGGCTGGATTCTTTGTTCTATTTGTGAAATTGGTTGTAGTAATTTTTTTTTTTGCATGTCCAAGAGAGACTTTTTAGTTCAATACAAGAATTGAGACAAGAACAAGAATTTTCTCTGGTAGACCAGATTTTTTACTGTTATATAACACCAGCCACCTTTTTTATAATGCGTTGAACTGTACCAGAATTTACCAAAATGGAAGATGATTCTGAATGCAAGATGACCTCATACTGAGAAGGACATCTGCATCGAAAATTTCATGATCTTACTTCAATCATGTGACGCAAAATAAATATTATAAAAGACGTTATACCTTAAATTTATTGTTAAAATCATTTGGACAATATTTTGATCCTCTTCTTCTGAAAACTGAATGTTCTGTTATTTATTTGTCAAAAGGTTCTTTTACAGATTAATATTTCAGATGAGCGCAAATATTTGATGGCTTCAAATCTGAGTATAGCAGTGTCAGGAGTCACAAAATTATGTAACTTGTTATTAATCATTTCAAGAAGTGTGTCTGTCCGGCAGTCATTCTCTGCTGTGAAGAGCAGAGCACACAGATTCAGGGGAGACTCACTAGGTTATTATTAATGACATTTGAGAAGAATATGCTTCAAGACTTAGAAAAGGGGCAAACTCCTCCGACTGAAAAGAAGTATTACTGGAGGAGCTTGTCAAATGGAACTGAAACACACATTGTACTGGGGAAGGTAAGCTGAGTTGTCCAGAACATTTTTTCTTAACTAACATTTCCTTTCTGTGTTATTCCTTACCTTTATTGATTTGTAGCTCAGATTTGCATTGTTGTCTAGAGCGACGTGTATACTCAGCTGCCAGAATGTTGACAACTCTCCTTTCCCATAGGATTTTAAAATTGTAATGTTTCATCATGAACTGTAACCTTGATATTTACCTCTGTCAGAACTTCAAATGTCACAAAACTGAACAAGCCAGAGACAAATATGTTCGGTTTTGGCACAGCAGAGCTCTATTCAAGGTGAAGAGCATATTGGCATAACACTGAAAGAGTTGAATCTACACTTAAATTGATGTTCTTCTTGTAACTGAGAATGTATCCCTCCTCATAGC